TACTCCCTCCGTCCCAAAATAATGGTCCCTTTTGGGGAATCCAACTTTTTTTGGTAGTACAATTATTGTACTTTTAAAAAGTTGGTTTTCCAAAATTACCCTTTGACAGTACACTTTTTTGAGAATATCAATGTCATAATTGTACTTTTTATATTATTTATGAATTTAAAAGAAGGGCAAAATGGGAAATTTATATTATTTTTGTACTTGATTTTTGAAGAGGGACTAATATTTTGGGACAATGAAAAATGGAATAAGGGACTAATATTATGGGATGGAGGGAGTATTTATTATAAGGCATATATGATGTAGGAAATTATGTCATATATATGAATATTTAGTTCATAAATGATTATTTTTAAAGTCTAAAGGTAGAAAGCAGGTATAAATTTACCTTGTTTTTCTTTTATTATTGGATTCTAATTTATTTTATTCAAACTTATAGGGTTCGTTTGGTTTGTATTTCTGAAAAAAAATTGGGAAATTTTCTCTACAAATAAGTTTTTAAAAGTAATCAAACCAAATAAATTTTCCCAAAAAAATTTCTCAAAACTTGTAAACCAAACAAGTTTTCCAAACAAATCTCTCTCTCACACACATCAAATCAATCACTTTTTCCAAAACTCTCTCTCACACACATCAAATCAATCACTTTTTTCAAAACTCTCTCTCAAAATAATTTTTCAAAACATCTTTTGAAAAAAATCAAACCAAACAACTTTTCGTACTTTTTATCTCTAAAACACATCTCTCAAACACAAACCAAACATACCCATAATGTGTGTCATGTGTGTTTAAGTGATAGACACATGTTTCTCAAGTGTCTAAAGTGTGTCCGAGTTTAGAAATTTTTTTAAAAATAGTAGAACATGTTTGGACATGTGGTGTTGAGAAGTGTTTGATGAGTGTAATGTCATCTCGGTGTTGGACACGACACTGCTATTTTCTTAGAAGTGTTGGCATTTCTTATCTCTGCATTTGAACTTGTCAATATTTGTGACCTAACCTTAATACTGGTATTATATTTGCAGTCTTGATCCTGAACACAAGAAGGAGTCGATTGAAAAGTATTTGGGTGCTACTCAGCCTCGGGAAAATTAACGGGTATCAATTATTCTGATGGCTAACTGCATTTACTTTAACGAATGATTTTCTCATTTCCTATTTAGACTGCACATTATGATTATGAAATTTACCTTTATTTCATTACATTTCATGTGCAGAGGGTTAAATGCACAAGTGAATCTATTTAGAACTTCTGTTTCTCACAACAGAAAAACACCAAGAAGAAAACAAAATATCATTCTGAAGCCCCCCTTTTGGTTACCACTGTGGAGACTGTATCATGTAAGTTGAAGCTCCTACAGAATGTGCAAGCTCAATGCAACATGCCTAAAGCCAAGTGATTTGGAATATAAATCCATCTGGTCGCCAGAGAAGGGGGATTCATATGTTTTTTTCTGGTAAGCACACCAGGGGAAAAATTATAATGATAGTAAAATACATGACTATTTATTTCCTGTGCTAACAGTTTAAGCACAATTTTATTTCAGCATCTTCTGTTTATTTCAATAATGCAAAGCTATTGCTAGACTGACTTGCCAACAAAAAAAAAATATATATATATATTGCTGGACTGTCCATCTGATTTTATTCCTTCTCAGCCTCACACGTGTGCTGCCTCCTATTCTTAAGAGTACACTGGTCCCTAAGATGAATATTCTGATTATAAATTATCTAATGTAAGTATGCTCCTCCATGGATCCAGAAGAAGTTCCTCTAAGACAAATTAGTCAGCCAGTTGTCTCAGCTTGAGGATCTTGACGGTGCAGATGCTGAATCCGTATTCTCTTTACAAGAGGAAACATCTGATACTATTCTTTCAATGGCTGTCAATGACTGAGATTCCTAGTTTTCTGATGAAGATAATGTTGATTTCTATCTTCAAAGTTTACCGTTAAAGTCTTAGATCATCTAAGATCGCTGCCAATGCTTCAAATTTACAGATAAAATGATACTATTCTAGGATTCGTGTTTCCCAGCACCTCAAAAGTAATCTTGTTACTTACCAGCTATGCTATTTATTTTATAATGACAATCAATGTGAGGGGAAACGAGAAGGAATCGGATGAAGAGTAGGGATTTATTTGATCTTATTTTCTTATTTATGTTTTAATAGGTTTTGTTGTTTTGTTAGTCTTTAATTATGGTAATTTTTATTTTGAAAACTTCTTAAGGGTTTTCTTGGATGCCTATAAATAGGTCATTGTGTAACAAGTTTAGCTCTTTATTTTAATTCTCTTTTTTCTTTTACTTCTTTTTTTCGCTGGTCATCCGTGTCAGGCTTCACGATGCCTCCTATTTGTTTTCAAAACTGAATGACGTGATGTATTTATCATTCGCAGGTTTACTGGTGGTGAAGCCATCAAATCGATTCATTCTTTGCTGAGAAGAGGAGATAGTAATCTTGTAGAAAATGTAAATACCAGGTTATATTAATACAGTTTACTTGCAAAGTCGAAATTTGTGATGTAATCATTTCATCAGTATTAGATTTTGTACAGTAACACCTCATATTCTTGGAGGACGTAGTTTTATTGTTTGCAATCATGTTTGTTGTATATAGCACATTGAAATGGCCATTCATTTTAAATGTGAATAGTTTTTCCCACTGTTGTTTGCCAAAGAATCTTTTGTGTATATGATACAACCCTAGTTTGCTCATGCAGTGATTGGCAGATGGTGTGTTTGTAATGAAGCGTTACTAATTTTGATGATATTCTAAATTTGTTCTCTTTTTTTTGGACTCGGGGTATATATTAAACTTTGTTGAAACAGCTGCTACTTGATTAGTGAACTGGACTTGGTTTTTTTTTGTTTTGTTAAGTTTAATGTATTAGTAACGTCTATATTTAACCAATCATTGTGATCTCTGGTGTTTTTAGGATAATTAATATGACTTCATGTGCATATTTGTTAGGTCTTGATAGTTTGTTTGTTTGATAATCAGTTTGTGGAGGGCATTTCATGACATTCCACATTGGCTAAAAAAAGAAATGTTCATAAGAAATTGTCAATTTAATAAAGAAAAAAAAAAGAGACTAATTACAGGGGATCTTTCTTGTATTTTTTTTTGAAATTGCACAATTCTCTTTTGCTTTTCTTGAGAGGGTGATGTTATGGTATACACTCTTTAAAAGGTGTATATTATATGTATTTTTTTTTTTTTTTTTTTTTCAGAATGTACTTTATGCACCTTGTTACGTAATTTTGTGATAAATATCGTGTATTTTTGTGATAAATGTTACATATTTTTCTTGTAAGAGTTGCAATAATCCATGGTTCATAAATAAAATTATGCATTTTGTGGTGGAGTAACGTATTGTGGTAATGTTACACATTTTTTTTAAAGAAAAGTTAGTCTAAGGTCCCTTTCCCATTTTTGATAATAAAAAAGATTCACTATATTATTATTTGATGTCTAAGGTCCCTCACAGATAAATTTGATATATCTCACGCTCTCTCTATCTCTCTTTCCCACTGCTCTTCTCTCTCTCGTCGATCTCAACTACTAGTTCAAACCCCTAGATCTCTCTCTCTCTCATTCCCTAGATCTATCTGTCTCCTCTTCTTCTCTCTTCTCATCTTCTCTCTTCTCTATGAAGTCCAGAGAAGAAAATTGTCTACTAACTCTTCCTTCCTTATCTAGATCTCGACACTCACTCTGCCTCACACACACACACACACACACACACACACATACACACACAGATCACTCTCTTTAATGGCTGCTGCCTCCGCCTTTACCGCCGTGAGACTGCGTGACCGCAATCGCAACCTCAATCGATAACTCGGAAGATAGAGTCTAGGGTCTCCCTCGCCGCCGCCTCACCAGCCACTCTCTTCGTCGAAGATGTCCTCTCCGCCACTTTCTTCTTCGATAATCGCCAAATCGTCTAGGCATTAAACTCGCTCGTTGCCTCAATTTTTGAGAAAGAGAAGGATCATCAAATTCTATCTGAAAAGGAATACACTGCTGCTATTTCTTTGGTATATGATATCAGTGTAGCTTTAGAGCCTTTGTGGCTGGAGTTGAGTGCTTGTATAAGCAAAGTAGAAACCTATTCAGATTCGCCACCCAATTTATCAAACAAATCTGTGATTTCACCATATACACCATCTGGTGTAATGCCTCAACTTCCTGCTGGTACTCAGAACATCTTGCCATACATAGAATCTTTCTTTGTGATTTGTGAGAAGTTGCAACCTGGGCAGTCATCAAGCTGTAGATCTCAAGGTTGTGTCGTTAGAATCCATATTTTAATCCATGAATTACAGAATGTAGGTTGAAATTAATAGGTACTTATCTCTGGATTGAAATGTTCAATTTTCTCTAGATTGAAATTTTCTCTGAGTGTTCAATTTTCTCTGGATTAAAATTTGGAATCCATGCTTTAGTCCATATTTTAGTCCATGAATTACAGAGTATAGATTGAATTAATAGGTATTGGATCTCTGGATTGAAATGTTCAATTTTTTCTAGATTGAAATTTTCTCTAGTTGTTTAATTTTCTCTGGATTGAAATTTGGAATCCATATTTTAGTCCACAAATTACAGAGTGTAGATTGAATTAATAGGTACTGGATCTCTGGATTGAAATGTTCAATTTTTTTTGGATTGAAATTTTCTTTGGTTCATCTATTTTTTCAACAAAATCGAAATTTCTCTGGGTTGAATTCCTCTGGTCTAGAATTTCTCTGGACATAATTTCTTTGGGAAGTCCAGAGAAATTCTGTAGATGAAATTTTTCTGGATTAAATTGAGGGACCTTAGACATTATGAAAATATTAGATGTCATTTATGCTATAAAATCTTAATACCAGGGACCCTAATTACAGGGGATCTTTCCTGTATTTTTTTGAAATTACACAAATCCCTTTTGCTTTTCTTGAGAGGGTGATGTTATGGTACACACCCTTTAAAAGGTGTATATTATATGCACTTTTTTATTTTTTTGTTCAAAATGTACTATATGCACCTTGTTATGTAATTTTGTGATAAATATCATGTATTTTGTGGTAAATGTTACATATTTTTCTTGTAAGAGTTACAATAATCCGTGGTTTATAAATAAAATTATGTATTTTGTGGTAGAGTAACGTATTGCGGTAATGTTACACATTTTCTTTTTTTTTATCTAAACATTTTTAATTACAAAATGTGTAACAATATCACAAAATACAAAATATTACCATAAAAATACATAATTTCATTTCTAAATCACAAATTATTGCGACTCTTATCAAAAAAAATGTGTAATATTTACTATAAAAATACATGACATACACCTAAAAACACATAATAAAGTGAAAAGTGTGTACAACAGAATTTTTCTTTTTTTATATTAGCAAAATTTTGCCTTTAAATATCAAAATTACGTATGTTCCCAAAAGCTCCACCTTTTCTCTTTTATGTATCCCCTCCTCCCACCCCTCGTTCACCATCCTCCCTCCCTCTCCGAATTAAATTTACAACTCACTTTATCTACCATCATCCGACAACTTTGATATATAAATTCAGAAATTACATGGAAAGTTCTTATAAGAAAAATTTACCTATAAATTCTATTTTAAGGAATGATGATTTATTTAGTCTCATCGATTTTAAAAATGGTACATTTAATATATTATTTGAAAATTAAATTTACCGTTATACTTTTATTTCTATTATGTTTCCTTCTCTCTTTTTTTTTCCTTTTATGTTAGAAATATAAGATACACAATCTATGATAATCAAATTTGAGATAAATTTTTGTATGAGAATCTTTTTTATTTGAAAAATATTTCAAAAGAAGTACAAAAATAACTTGAAATAAAAGATTTTTCATACATTCCAAAAGGATGTGAAATTTTTCAAACATGTTAAAAGGAGTACAAAAACTCCTTAGTAAACTTTAAACAAATGAGTCACAGACTTCTCTCTCTCTCTACTTTTCTAGGGTTTTGGTCAGAGAGCCGTTTGGGGAGGGGGAGGAGGCCTCTGGCCTCCGGCCACCTCTCCTCCTTCCTCCCCCCTTGTTTCTTTCCTCTTCTGCTTGCTGCAAATAAGTTTTGGGAGCTCTGCTTTCCCTCTTGTCTCCCTCCATGGAAGGTTTTTCTTCCCCTCATGGTGGAAGTTTGCTGGTTTTCCCTTCTCCTTCGCCCACCGACGCCAGATCTGCTTTGTTTCCCCTTCGCCAAACCACGCCGACGCTGCATTCTGCACTACGCCACCAGATCTGCTCGGATCTGACCCGCCTCCACAGATCTGGCCGCTCTGGGTCTGAGGTTTCTTTGTTTTTCTTGTTTTGCTTTGATTTTTTTTGGTTTTTGGTTTTGTTCTTGGAGTCCATTGGTGCTTGTTTGTTGCCTACACACTCTGTGGTTGTTTCCTATGATGTATCTCAGACATGCTCTAACGCTGATTTTTTATAATCGGCTCTGCTTCGTAGTATGAGCACAAGTATAGTTGTGCGTCTGAATACTTTTATAGTTTTCGCCTTTGCGCTTCTTGTAATAGTTTTACTTTGTTTGGTGTATGCCTTTGATGAATGGACTCTGTAAATGCCGTTATGGCTATTTCCTCAATGGAATTCTCTTCTGGAAAAAAAAAAAAAAAATTTAAACAAATGTATAATTTCAAAATGTAACACTCTAATGTAACACTCAAACGTAACATTCCAATGTAACATTTTAAAAAAAATACTTAGTATATTTTTTTTTTCCAAATATAACTCACTCCAAAAAAACTCATTAGTGTACTTTTCTCAAACGTAATGCTCCAATATAACACTCCGAAAAAATTACTTAGCGTAACACTCTAATATAACATATAAAAAACATCTTTGTGTAACGCTCTAATGTAACATACCAAAAAAACTCATTAGTGTACTTTTCCTAAACATAACACTTCAATAACACTATAAAAAAAATAAAAATAAAAACATCCTTAGTATACTTTTCCCAAACGTAACACTCCAATGTAACATTCCCAAAAAAAAAATCCTTAGTTGATGAGCACTACTATTATGTATACACACAGAAAAAAAAAAATAAAAAAAAAACAAATATCCTTAGACTATATATTTTATCAACTGTAACACTCCAATGTAACATTTCAAAAAAAGGATGTGAGATTCTTCAAACTATTCCAAAAGGATGAGAGATTTTTCAAACCATTCTAAAAGGAGTACAAAAATTTCTTAATAAGTTTTATACAAATGTATAATTTTAAATTGTGAGTGTTACGTTTGGAAAAAGTATACTAAGGAATTTTTAGTATTTTTGTGTGTGTTATATTTGAGTGTTATGTTTAGAATTACATTGTGGATGTTTGGGAAGTGAGTTTTTTTGTAGATTTTTTTAGTTATAGGATATTAGTGGAGAAATTTTTTTTTGTGTTTGGAAAGATAGTTGGAATTTTTTGTGGTTGGATGTGATGTTTGTGAGAGAAAAAGTGAAATGATTATGGGATTTGATATGATATTTTGTTTAGATTGATTTTTTTTGGTTTTGTAAAACATTTGTCTTGTAGAGAAAAAAATTAAAAAAAAAACCTAAAAACCAAGTTGCCAAACACCGCCAATGGAGTGTTACGTTTAGGATTACATTGATTGGAGTGTTACATTTGGAAAAAACACACTAAATTTTTTTTTTTTTTTTTTGTGTTACATTTGACTGTTACGTTTGGGAAAAGCACACTAAGGAGTTTATTTATTAGTGTTATGTTGTTACGTTTGGGAAAAGTACACAAAAGAATTTTTTGATATGTTACATTGGAGTGTTACGTTATTAAAGTGTTATATTAGAATGTTATGTTTTTGTTTATAATGTGGGATTTATTCTAGAAGGAGGAAAATTTCAAAACTTCTATAGCACAGATTGCTCAAATGTGTATCTGTGGTTGTTTCCTATGATGTATCTCAGACATGCTCTAACGCTGATTTTTTATAATCGGCTCTGCTTCGTAGTATGAGCACAAGTATAGTTGTGCGTCTGAATATTTTTATAGTTTTCGCCTTTGCGCTTCTTGTAATATTTTTACTTTGTTTGGTGTATGCCTTTGATGAATAGACTCTGTAAGTGCCATTATGGCTATCTCCTCAATGGAATTCTCTTCTGATAAAAAAAAAAAAAAAAACTTTAAACAAATGTATAATTTCAAAATGTAGCACTCTAATGTAACACTCAAACGTAACATTCCAATGTAACATTCTAAAAAAAATACTTAGTATATTTTTTTTTCCCAAATATAACACTCCAATATAACACTCCAAAAAAACTCCTTAGTGTACTTTTCTCAAACGTAATGCTCCAATATAACACTCCGAAAAAATTACTTAGCGTAACACTCTAATATAACATATAAAAAACATCTTTGTATAACGCTCTAATGTAACATACCAAAAAAACTCATTAATGTACTTTTCCTAAACGTAACACTTCAATAACACTATAAAAAAAATAAAAATAAAAACATCCTTAGTATACTTTTCCCAAACGTAACACTCCAATGTAACATTTTCAAAAAAAAATCCTTAGTGAACACTATAATGTAATACACAAAAAAAAAAAAAAAAAAAAAAAAAAAACTCTTTAGTATACTTTTCTCAAACGTAACACTCCAATGTAATATTTCAAAAAAAGGATGTGAGATTCTTCAAACTATTCCAAAAGGATGAGAGATTTTTCAAACCATTCTAAAAGGAGTACAAAAATTTCTTAATAAGTTTTATACAAATGTATAATTTTAAATTGTGAGTGTTACGTTTGGAAAAAGTATACTAAGAAATTTTTAGTATTTTTGTGTGTGTTATATTTGAGTGTTATGTTTAGGATTACATTGTGGATGTTTGGGAAGTGAGTTTTTTTGTAGATTTTTTTAGTTATAGGATATTATTGGAGAAATTTTTTTTTTGCGTTTGGAAAGATAGTTGGGTTTTTTTGTGGTTGGATGTGATGTTTGTAAGAGAAAAAGTAAAATAATTATGGGATTTGATATGATATTTTGTTTAGATTGATTTTTTTTGGTTTTGTAAAACATTTGTCTTGTAGAGAAAAAAATCAAAAAAAAAACCTAAAAACCAAGTTGCCAAACACCGCCAAATGGAATGTTACGCTTAGGATTACATTGATTGGAGTGTTACGTTTGGAAAAAACACACTAAATTTTTTTTGTGTGTTACATTTGACTGTTACGTTTGGGAAAAGCACACTAAGGAGTTTATTTATTAGTGTTATGTTGTTACGTTTGGGAAAAGTACACAAAAGAATTTTTTGATATGTTACATTGGAGTGTTACGTTATTAAAGTGTTATATTAGAATGTTATGTTTTTGTTTATAATGTGGGATTTATTCTAGAAGGAGGAAAATTTCAAAACTTCTATAGCACAGATTGCTCAAATGTGTAATTTTACATTTGGAGAAACCAACTTTTATCTCTAAAAAATTAAACCCAAATATGTAAGTAACTACCTTTTTAGTGTAATTTTCACTTTAATAGGACCTTTGAGATCATAAGAAAAAAGAAAAGACTAAACAATTTACAAAATCATATTTTGAGACTTATTGGTATTTCACCCTTTTTATAATTGTTAGATACCTTAGGAGATGTCCGTTTAATTAGCATTAAAAAAAAACAAATTTACAAATTTCGAGTACTCTACTAGCAAAATTCTAGAAAAAAAAAAAAATTTCTTGTATTAAATATTGTGTTTGAAACCAAGTAGAAGAGGTGTTTTTCTACTTGACATTAGGAGTGCTCAGCAGTGCAAGTTGAGCGGGCTCAATCTAAGTCCAGTCCAAAATTTTTTAAGGTTTGGACAATATATTTGGCCATTCAGCTAAAAGTTAACTTTTTGATTCTTTACCTTTTTAGATCATATCACCTCTTTATTTTTTTACACATTTTTTCAAAAAAAGTTTAAAAAAAAGCCAAAAATTAGCTTTTAACCGATTTCTCAAAACAAGCCTAATTTTGGTACAGATTTAGGTAAAAATTCAGAAGCCCGAATTAAATGTGGGCGTGCTTGAGCAAAGATATCAAATAACCCGAGCAACCCGAAACCGAATTCTATATATAAATATATAAAACTATTAAATATACATATAAATTAGAAAAAATTAGTCTAAGGTCCCTCTCCCATTTTTGTGATAGAAGAGATCTATAATATTAATTTGTGATGTCTAAGGTCCCTTAACCCTACACCCACGAAAATTCACTCTCTCGCTTTCTCTTTCTACCCAACAATTTCTTCTTCCCTCTCTCTGATTCACTGACCTGACCTCCTTTCATTTTTTTTCTCTTTGTCTCTCTCTCTCTCTCCGATTCGATCAACCATGAACCGCTTCAACACCGATTCAGAGGGTTGCTTAGCACTGATTTGGTTCTGAACCCTACTAGTAGAGCCTCTGCGACCGAGTCTCCGAGCTCAAACTCAGATTCGACCGCTTGGTTAACGGCAGCTGTGGAGATCAAAAGTATACTTTGACGACAGAGATTAATGATCCGGACAGGAAGTACAAGTGGACAGCAAAGATCAAGGGCGAGAAGGAGAAGAAGAAGAACAAAAAGGAAAAGAATGATAAGAACTATAAATGGACGGCTGAGATTAAAGAGAAAGGTAAAGATGCTCCTCCGATCACGAGAACATACACATTCAAAGCATTGAGCGGTGATGGAGGTGAATGCAGTGAGTCGAAGAAGAAAGAGAAGAATCTAAAGAAATTTCTCTGGAGAGAATTTCTCTAAGAAGTCTAGAGAAATTTTCTCTAGATAAATTTTCTGGATTGAATTTTCTCTGCTCTCTGCTCCTCCACCGCCGCCTCAGCTAGCTTCTCGATAGTCCTAGGGTCAAGCTTCTTCTCTTTCTTTGCTGGTTTTGTAGATTTCCATGTGGAACTTTAAGCAAATGTCTGTTTAGATGTCTATTAGCTTTCTCTGTGTTTTTTCTTTTTCTTTTTCTTTTTTTTTTGTCCAAACAAATTAGCTTTCATTGTTCAATGCAATGTTTCCGACTGTTTGACAAATGAATTTGGTCTCCCAAGACCGGGGAATTTCTCTGGGTTGAAGTGTGAGATTTTTTCTGTGAAATCGAATTTTCTCTGGATCAATTTGAGAGACCTTAGACATTATTAAAATATTAAATGTCCTTTATACCATAAAATCTTAATAATAGGGATCCTAAAAAAAATCCCCTATGATATTAAAATAATTTAGATTGTTAGATTATGTTGAATATATATAATATACACAAGTAACACAATACAAAATTTTACTTATTTATTTTTCTCACTCATAAATTGTAAAGACCATCATAATAGTATCACTTTTACATTAAATAAATTATTTGTTTTGATATTATTAATGATTTTATAAAAAAAATTATAAATAGTCTAATTTTAACAAATTAATTAACTTAGTTGCACTAAAAAAATAAAAATTTATATGCAATTCGGGCAATTTGAGTTTAACTCAAGTGAGTTTGGACAAACAATCTCGGGTTACAATTTAAATTTGAGCGGGCCTGGACAAATCTCAATTCAACTTACGCTAGGCTTGGACAACCTTCTCAACCTGCACAATGACACTCCTACTTGACATACCTGAGTTCAAGTGTAGCTTCTCTTTACCCTCCTAACTATTCTAAGAAAGAAGGCGAGAATGAAAAAGCTAAATATTGCGTTTGCATCGCTTTGTGATGCATGAAAAGCACCAAAAGAAAAAATTCCAACATCAACGGAGAAAAAAAGAGATAGTGGAAATATTGCTGGGCATCATTAGATAGATTAATTAGATCAATCAAAACATGTTAATTATTACATGAAATTCTTCAAACTGCAAACATTTGTACATAGCACAACATTTGTTTTGAAATGGGGAATGATAAATAGAGCTAAAACCAAACAAACAAATCTTAAGATCTCTACATCCATCCAAACCTATACTCTTCTCTTCTAGCATTAGCAGCTAAAAACCCTCCTTTCCTTTAGGCAATGTCCAAATATTCCACATTGCTTTGCTTCCTCCTTATCAATTAGTCTATCAATTAGTTCCTGCAACAAAGACACCGAATAAGACTGGTTCTTGCTGATCCCTTACTTATTTACTTACTAAGCTTTTAAATCTTAATGCTCTATCCAACTATATGCGGCATAGGATCTTGTATCCCTAAAATTCGTGTCACCCTATTCTAATGTATTTGCAACCACAAGATCATAGCTCGAGATTTTCATCACATTCTATGGCTAATAATACATTGAGAACAAAGGGATAGAAATTTTGGAGACAAAAGATCATTTGCTTGTGACACGGGATCATGTATTCCCAAAATTCATGTCACCCTCTCTCGGTGAATATCTAGCCTTGAGATCATAGCTCAATATTTTCATCACATCCTACAGTTGAAAGTATATTGGGAACAAAAGAACAAGATTTTGGAGACAATGGATCCTTGGCCTGGTACACAAGATCCTTTGTTTTCAAAATTTGTCACCTTGTCCCAATGCATTTTCAGCCGCAAGATCATACCTCGAGATTCCTACTATATTCTTCGGTTGAGAGATACATTGAAAACAAAATGACAATGAATTTTAGAGATTGAGAATCCTTGACTCGTGGCACGAGATCCTCTGTTCTTAAAATTCCTGCCACACTATCCCAATGTATGTCCACTTACTAGATCTTATTTCGAGATTTTCATCACATCCTACAATTGATAATACATTAGGAACAGAGGGACATAAATTTTGGAGACAGAAAAACCCTAACCCTAACTATATACACTTCATCTCACCTGTCTTGTTGGGATCAGCTTTCTTTGGTACAACGTGAGCCCTCTTGAGACCCAACCTTTGCTTCCAGTGATAAGAACCACCCTTTGGTATCCTTGGCAACGCATACTCATCATCATCATCATCATCATCAACAAGGAGTTCATCTCTCAAAGTGGTCATCTTGGAACAGTGTTCCTTCACAGGCACCAACTTCCCTTTGAAGATGAGCTCCTCTGCAGAGATCATGCCATAGTTAGAGACAGAGAATTCAAAATCCGACGACGATGCCGGTGGTTCTCTGTAGCTCCTCTCATGCTTGATCATTTGTTGTGCATCAGCAAAGTCATTGGAGAAGGAGATTCTTGGGATGGAAGTGCAGTACTGGCCTTGTTGCTCATTGTTGAACATGTTTAAGCAATGCCAATGGGGACTGGAATTCAATACACCAGCACCAAACACCACCTTGCTCCCTTGTCTTTGACTACTTAGAATCACATGCATATGTTAGTATTTATACAAGAGGGTTCTTATGTTATGTACTCATTCTATTGCGTACAGTTATTGGAATTGTTTACATTTTTTTTATAGAGAAATTTATGTCAGGGTGTTTAATCAAACTCCTGCTTATAATTTTGGCAAAAATAACTTATAATAAGTTGAAAAAACTGATTATTAAAAGTTAGAAAATTGGTGCTTGTAGTTTCTGCTTTCAAATTATCGAATAACTTGAAAAAAAATTACACCAAACAAGCCTTTATAAAATCAAATGACAGGTTAACCATAAGAACTAAATATGTTTATTTTGCTTTGTCATTCACTTTTAATAAAGTTGAAGAGACCAAAACTAACGCAAATGATATAAAAATACAAAGATACCTAATGGAAATTATACATTCTAATATAAAAGAGATGATAATATCATTTTTTTTCATTCATATAACTATAACATTTATGATGAAAAAGGAGAAGAGCGTTATTTGGATTAAAACTTTAAGGAAATTCAGTGTAATTATGCCTAACTTATAAAGCGTACTGTATATATTTTTTTTTAATTTCAAGAAAAGTCAGTGTAATTTAGACATAATTAAAAAAATAATTATCTAAAAGATTAGAGAGAAGAGCTTCTTGTAGCTTGTACTTACAAATTATCAACTAACTAGAAAGTTACACAAAATAGACCTATATAGAATCAAATGACAGCCTGTTCATAAGAACGAAAGTAGTACTGTGGAGTAGACTAGACATGTAATGTTTACTTTGATTTGTCATTACTATAAATGTCTGGATGAACAACCATTTAATATGAAGTTAACATAGAAGACATGTGAAGTCCATTTAAACAATTGATACCGTGTCTAATTATTTTTTAATGTAATATGCTTTTCTTGACTGGATCAATGTAAAGAAATTGTGTTTATCTTGTGTTTAATGTAATTGCTTTAGTTTGAACTGCAAGCAAATTCAAATTGGATAAGGAAGGACGGTGGAACAAGTAAACAATTTATTAATATATATATATTTTTTTGACATAAACAATAATGTTAGAAATACTGAGAAGTGTACTAACTAAATATAATGTTCAGTGGGAGGATCTATATGTAAATTTTGTGTCTTAATTATTATGTTTATTGATACATTTGTTAGTAGTTTCAATATTATCCAGACATGAGTGATAAAATATGAAAAAATTACTTAGTAATGATGGAGTATCATTGCGAAATGTGCATGTTGTGCTCCTAACTAACAAGACTATACGATCTAAGATGGATGAGAGTGATCTTATTACTTACCCAACCAACTAAAGCCGATTAGTTCAGTTTCACTCATTTCGAGACTATTATAAGAGTAACCATCTTTCTATACCATCTGGAGTTACAATCTCATGTGCTACTATCACAACCATTCCTCTTGCATTAATGGCTATGATTATACCACATGACATGGTATTTCAAATCATATATATAAGTAGTATTTTTTCCTTTCTGATCATGTGACATATTCTAAAAGCTTACTTTTTTAAAATAAAAAAAAATCCTACATCAACATGCCTTTTTCATTTATATATAAAGTTGTACACAAATTCAATTTCAATTATAATAACCAATTTTATATGGACTCTATTTGAGAAATACTTATTTTCTATATATATAATTATAATTTAATTATTATGATATTCAAAAAAAAATTATCTCGATATAAAAATAAATAAATAAACCAGAATGTGCTTAATTATGTGCATCGCACGGATCAAATTAATTTACTTTTATATTTTTATTTTTTTGTCTATCTTATTGATATCTTAATATTAATTTATATTTAATTTTTTTATTTAAAATGAAATTATTTATTACAAAATATTTGTATTTAATTTAAAATTTATATATACTTATACAATATGTATGAATACTTCAAAAAGAATATTAAAGAAAAAATTCAGTACTCTACATAATTAATTTATGTATTTTCTTCTCAGTCCAATCACAATATATTTATATTTAATCTTTTAGATAAAATTTGTGTAGTTCTATTTTTATATATTGTAAAATTCAGCAATATAATTTAGTGATCCTAAAAATCGTTGTAGTTGAGTTTTATCTAAGATTTCATCAGGAAATTTAGACGCAAATTCAATGGAACGACTAATAGTAAAATAGTATTCTGGTGAATACCATAACCTAAAAATCTAACTTTGGTTTGAAACAATTTAATCTTAGAAGCAGAAATGACTAGACCATAACTCCTAATGGTATAAAAGAATGCAGTAAGATGTTTCCAGTGTTCACCAATTGATTTTGAAAAAATAAGAATATCATCTATATAAACTATGGGAAAATGCCTAAATGGATTGAAAATGCCATTCATTATATTTTGAAATTCACTTGACATCTTCCTTGTCTTAGTATTCCTACTGAAAATTCATTCAAAATTATTCAAACTGATGTCTATGATATTGGTTATGGTGGCATCCTTCTCCAGAAAATTACTCCTCAGTCATCTAAACAAATTGTTCGTTATCATTCTGGTGTCTGGAATAAAGCACAAAAGAATTATAGTACTATTAAACAAGAAATTTTATCTACTGTTTTATGTATTAGTAAATTTCAAGATGATATTTTAAATCAAATTTTTTCACTTCGTGTTGATTGCAAATCTGCTAAATATGTTTTAGAAAAAGATGTTCAAAATCTTGCTAGTAAGCAAATTTTTGCTCGTTGGCAATCTATTTTAAGTATTTTTGATTTTGAAATTGAATTTATACCTGATTGTCAAAATTATATTCCTGATTTTCTTACCCGAGAATTTTTACAGGGTGGATAGTGAGTTACATCATGCCCATTCCCTTTGGTATCAGAGCCAAGTTATGTTGCTATCTATTTTATTATTCCGATATGTTAGGTCCCTATGTTGTCAAATCCGGGGACAAAACCTTGTGTTGATTCAAAAGTATTTTTTGTGTTTTTGTACTGTCCGCTCGAGCAGAGACTTTTGAGCTCGAGCGTAGATTAGCAGGTCTCAGTATTTTGACAGGGCAAGCACAGATACTGGTGGGTGTGATTTTACGCTCGAGCGGAAACTACTACGCTCGAGCGCATCTCAGTTTCTTCGCATGCAGTTTTTTGGTCAATCCGCTCGAGCGGGCTGTTGTGAGCTCGAGCGGAGATCGCGGATCCAGATTCCTATTTAAAGCTGCTAACGTTGTTTTGTTGGGATGTTTTTCCTAGATCTGATCTAAACAAACTAGGGTTGTGTTTAAAGTCTTCTCTGGAGATTTTTGATCGTTTTTCCTTGATGTTCTTAAGAGAGTTCTGAACTTATGCATTGAGATTCATACATCAAGGAGGTTGCTTCTTAAGTTTCAAGTGAGTTCTCTTCGGTGGATTCCGAAGATCAAAGCGTAGGATCCAAAAGGCGTTTGAGTCTACGCAGTCGTTAATTCGACAAGTGAAGTTGTGGTGTGGAATCAACTTCAGAATCAATTCCGTGACGAAGGTGTGGTGAAAAGAGTTACAGAAGATTCAGAGACAAATTGACTAGGGTTGGGTAATTTGTATGATTTCTTTGTAATCTTTTCGTTCTTCAGTAGTGGATTGATAGTGGCGGTTCGCCCGTGGTTTTTGATTACAATTGAAGGTTCTTCAATTGTGGTTTTTTCCACGTAAAAAATCGTTTGTGTTGATTTATTGTTTATTCTCAAAAACAAACAAACTAAAATCACTCTCGTAAGTGTTTGATGATTTTAGGTTGAGTGTTTTGAATTTATTGGGTTTTGGAATTAGTTAATCTTGATCTAATCATAAATCACGTAGGATTTTCACAATAAAATAATAAGTCTATCTCTTGCTTACTGCTTTGCTACTTCTATTGTGTCAATTCTATTTTCTGTCTGTTAATCTGTTTCCAGTCATCTTAATTTGTCAAAATTATATCTGTGTTTTCCACTTTGTTACTAGCCACCCAATCTTCGTCCCTGTCCTTGGTCATGTCCTTTGGTTAGGCAGTGTTGGATTTTATGGGTCCTCCGAAACGGGTATGTGTGAAAGCCTAGTATGTGAAAATATGATAAATTTAGACAATATATTAAAATTCCTGTAAAATAGTTTAATTAAAGAAAAATGAGTCGATTATTTAGAAGTAACTCTTCAGTCAGTTCTAAGTCAACAACTTTGCCCTCAATACCTAATCAAGGATTAGTAATTAATGAAGAAAAATTAGAAACACAAAATGATAAACTAGATTTAAGTTGGAATATACCAAAATTATCAGTTAAAGAGATTTATAAAACTACGTTTTTACAATCTGCTTTTAATGTTAATCTGCATGTTAAAACATTAGAACAAGTTTATACTTTAGAAAGACCTAGAGAAACCTGTCACTTATTTGATGCTAACACTATTAAACGTCATTTAAAAACTGGTTACAATTTTATTCATTTAGGATTAATTCAAGTTGGAATCAAACCATTAACTTCACAAGGTAAAAATACTTCTGTTTTATTATGTTTAAGAAATGCTCGTTTTATTGATTATAATGATAGTTTAATGGGTATGGTGGAAACTGGTCTTCACAAAGGACCTATTCATTTTAATTGTTTTCTTGATTTTACACTCAGTTTTAGAGATCCACACATATTAGATGCATTAACTTTAAATATTCAATTAAATGGTTCATTTACTAATATGAAAGAAAAAACTCATAATATTGCTTTAATTTATCGTGTCCATTATAAATGTATTAAAACCAATTTAAATGTTTAAGCTTTACATAAAAGTCCTAAGGATAAAACATTACTGATTCAAACTAGTAACAATGATACTAATATAAATATCCCTCGAATGATAGAATGAAAAGATATTACTCTCCCTGATCAATGGATTACGGTCAATGAAAATTACAAACATAATCAACAATAATCCACTAGTCAAGATATCCAAGATATTCAACAATTTACTGACGGTTCAATCCGTATTAAATTTAATCGTATTCAATCTTCTAGA